TAGAGTTGGCAAAAAGCTCTTCTTTTGTTTAGCTATTTAGCTGCATAGTCTTTCAAAGCGATTGAACCAATTTATACTTGTCACATATGAATTCTACTTTCTGTTATCTTTGTCAACACTAGGTATTATTGGTTTTTGTAATTTTAGCCATTTTTCTATTAGTTGTCTTGTTTTTACCTTTCATGTTAGTCTACTACCTCTCTGGCATTTTTTTTTTAAATCTTTTGGATACAGTGTGATGAAGTGATCAACACATTTAATTTTCCACAAGCATTTTTAATTTATCAGGCACCATTTATTGAAAAGACACAATTTATTGTTTTCCCACTTATTGATATAACATCTGTGTTATAAATTAGGCATCTCTATAGGTGTGGGTGTGTTTCTTGATTCTTTGTTCTGTTTTATAAGTTATTGGCATAAAGTTTTTTTGTAGACACTTTTATTTACTATTGTGATGCCCTCATTTTCAGGTCATATTGCTAAATTTTATTTTCCTTTTTAATCAGTCTTACTAAGAGTCTCTAGAAACAGTTTTTGACATAGTTATTTTCATTATATATCTTTTTGTAACTCAGTTGATTTCTGTACTTATTATTTATCTATTATCTTTGAATTTAGTTTGCTCTTCTATTTCTAGGGGCTTTTAAAATGTTTTTAAGCTTTCATTTTGAAATAAGTTGGGTTAGAAAACATTTACAAAAATTTTACAAAGTTTCTATAAACTCATTGCCCAGCTTTGCTAAATGTTGATGTATTACATAACTGTGGCACAATTTTAAAATCATGAAATTAGTATTGAAATATTCTATAAAGATTCTTTAAATTTTGCAAATTATACCACATATGTTTTTTTTCTAGTTTAGGACTAAATCCAGTATTACACATTGAATTTAGTTCTCATGTCTCTATTCTTCTTTGATTTGGGGAACGTCCTTAGATTTTGTCTCTCTTCATGACCTTGATACTTTGGAAGAGTGCTAACCAGTTAATTTGCAGTGTCTCTCAATTTGGGCGTTTCTTCCTGATTAAGTTCAGATTACTCATTTTTGGCAAGAATAAACCAGAAACAAAGATATGACAAAAATGTGTCATATTAGGAGAAACCGCACGATGCTGACATATCTTATTCTTGGTGATGCTAAGCTTGGACACTTGATTCTGGTAAAGTCTGCCAGTTTTCCCCATGACAAACTTACATTTTTTCCTCTGCAGATAATAAGTATTTTGTGAGGGAGACCGTTTGAGACTATGCAAGTATCCAGTTTTCTCATATACACTTGCCCACTCATTTTAGCCTCTATGAGTGATTCTTGCCTTTGCAACAACTATTACTGTGGTGTTTGCAAGATGTTAATTTTCTATTTGCATCATCCCTTCTGTCTTCATTAGTTGAAATCTCTGGCTGGTGGCTCAGTTGGTAAGAGACTCGTCCTGTACACCAAAATGGTTGCAGTTCAATTCCCCTTCAGGGCACATACTGGTTTGATCCCCAGTTGCAGGTTTGATCCCCAGTTGGAGCGCATATGGGAGGCAACCAACCAATGTTTCTCTCTCACATTGATGTTTTTGTATCCTCAGGTGAAGATTTATAAAAATAAGCTGCTTTATTCTTATTGATTCATTCAAATACTTATTTTTGGGATGGAATCAAGGATATATATTTTATTCCATGAGATGAAATTAACTATTGTTTGTTGTTCATTTTATTGTAGTTTGGCAATTGGGAACTCCTTTAGGCTGGCTCCTCTGTCTTTTTGACACATCATCACATTTTGAGCATGATTGGCTGAAAGACAGTTCATTTGGTGTCATCTCCAGCTTAGATTGCTAGACATTTGAGTGTTTTGTTTTGAAGATGATTTATAGAAAGAGTAATTGCTTTGACTTTTCATTCTCTCTAAAGCCAAAGATTGGCAGAGGTGCTGAGAAAAGCATCAGAGGTTGGGAATGTTGAATGAGTTATTCGCATAATGAACAAAATCTATTCACTAAGTGAGCAATGCAGAATGCCCAAGATGGTGGTAGATGATAAGAGTGGGTAGAATGAAGTGAACTTCAGGGAGACTGGAGTTTCTGAAAGATACCAGTGTTGGAGATTATGGGATGTTTCTGAGTCGTGAGAAGTTGAACTGAAAGAAGAACCATTGCAGGGGAACATTCCAAGGGGTTTCCCAATAATTCCTCCCAGCAGTTCCCAAGTGAATGGCGGGAATGGGGAAGTAAGAGGGAAGGAGGACCAGTGAAGGGAAGGGGGGAAGGAAATCTGCCTTTCCAGATTGAATGGCTTTGAAAGGAGACTCCTTCCAGGTGAACATTACCACAGTTACCACACCTCTCCCACAGGTGGGAGATGGCAGTTATAAGCCTGGAGGAAGGCTTGCACGTTAGCATGAGGAATAGGAATATCCCAATAGATAACTGTCACTCTAAGTATTAGCCAAAGGCTCTGCAAAGATAATCGAAGGAAGAAAAAACAAATGTGATAACAAAAATAACAAACGTGCTCATCATCATCAGGAAAAGCAAATAAAAATCAAAGCAAACCACAAAATTAATTGTCTTTGCCTGCCAAATACCAAAAATTTAAAATATAATATAACCAAATGAGAGTCATGATATGAGATTTCTGTTGTTCTCAGACACTATTGGTACAAATCCCAAGAAGATGGTCAGTATACAATATTATAAAAATGTTTATTAATTTAGAAATTCTACTTCTGAGAGTGAAGCACATGATTAAGAATTCTGACTTAAGAATGCAGATACTCGAGTTGGACTGGATTTAAGTCAGAGTTCTGTCACTTCATACCTATATGGACTTCAGCAAGTCACGAGTTTCTTTTTGCCTCAGTGTCCTCATCAGTAAAATGGGATTAATTATAATACCTACCTTGTCAGGGTGTTGGATGGATTATTATATGTAGAGCAGTTAAAATAATATGTCTGGCTAATGGTAAGCACTGCATAAGACTGTGCTCATCTAGAATTTAAGGGTATCCGAATTTAGACCTTTTTAGATTTTAGTAAGGTAATATGGGATACATTGGCTTTATTATATAATGCTCCCCACTAGGCTCTGGGGCAGGACCCCATAATCAAGCCCACTAACATTTCTAATGTGAAGTATAAGAGGTTTCATATTGTGTCATAAATGATGATGATAAGGTCAGATTCAGGTTTTCTTTATCTTAATCTTCAAGAGAGATTTCGGAGGCTTGATACAGTCAAAGACATTTGAGATCTGCATTTCATAGTAATAAAATATTAAAAGTTAAACTTTTTTTGTTGTTGTTAAATATATTTTATTGATTTTTTACAGAGAGGAAGGGAGAGAGATAGAGAGTTAGAAACATCGATGAGAGAGAAACATCGATCAGCTGCCTCCTGCACATCTCCTACTGGGGATGTGCCCGCAACCCAGGTACATGCCCTTGACCGGAATCGAACCTGGGACCCTTGAGTCTGCAGGCCGATGCTCTATCCACTGAGCCAAACCGGTTTCGGCTAAAAGTTAAACTTTTATATAAAATGTATATTGCTACTTTATTTAATAAAGGAAATGTTTATAAACTATTAAACCTTGAACTGTTTATGTTATATTATAAAATAAATAGGACACAATATTGTGTTATGTCTAGAAAAAAAATAACTAACCATAGAAAAATAGTCTAGAAGAAAATATTCCATATTATTAGCAACAACTATGATGATATGGTGGAATTATAATTTCATACATTTATTTTATACTATTTGCAGGTTTTTAATAAAGATAGTAAATTTATAATGAAAAAGTAATTTTTATCAGCCTGACTTTATAGTCTTAATCTGTAAATTTGACTATCAGCAATTTGAAAAGTTGCCTTTTTTGTTAGTTATATTTTGATGGTGGTAAATGTCACTATAAGTACTTTAATATAGAGAGGCAAATAGAAAAATTTCTTTGAATGTTGTTTAAATTTGTTTCATGTGCTGAATTTTGCTGGCTAATTCCCGTCTCAGTCACCCTATCTCCTAAAATTTAGTGTCAGTAAATGTAAGTCAAGTTTATAAAAGAAATAGTATGTATATCAACTCATATTTAAAGGTTAGATTTTTTGTGTTTGTTGTTTCTCTGTGGACAGTATCAAAATATGACAAATCACCCCTTCAGGACGAAAGTGTTCAGAAGGAGCAAGGACTTTGAAAAGCAGATGGTCATAGTTTAAGCCCCAACTCTACTCTTTTCTTGTTATCTGACTTTGGCAAATTACTAATTCCCTGAATCTCAGTTTTTTAATTTGTAAAACAGAAATAATATCCCATTTAAGGGTTAAGTAAGATAATTTTTATAAAGCATCAACCCAGGGCTTTATATTGTATGCTCAATAAATGGGCATACTCTCTGCCTTCTTTCCTAAGTTTTAACCAAGAACAGAAAAAAATGTAGGGGAAGGTATAAAATATGGGGAAGCACTATTTATCAAGCACTGCTAAAAGTACTTAACTCGTATTAATTTAATTATTCTTTTCACAGTTCTCTACAGAGGGCCTACACAGCTTGTCCAACGAATCTGCTCTTTGGCTGAGCGGCAACATTAAGCTTGGTGATCTGACCAAGAGCCCATGCTCTTGATGACTTGACTAGCCTTCCTCTAAATTATGAGTTAAAGGATGAGAGTAAGGCTGCTATTCTTGTAGTTTAACATGTCTAAATAATAGTGAAAAGTTAATGAGGAAGCCCGGCCAATGTGGCTCAGTGGTTGAGCATCGACCTGTGAACCAGGAGGTCATGGTTCAATTTCCTGTTAGGGCACATGCCTGGGTTGTGGGTTCAATCCCTGGTGTGGGGTGTGAAGGAGGCAGCTGATTAATGATTCTCTCTCGTCACTGATGTTTCTAACGCTTTCTCCCTCTCCCTTCCTCTCTGACATCAATAAAAAGTATGTCTATATTTTTAAAATGTAATGAGGAAGCTCTGCTAACAGTTGCATTCCTGTTTTGGCCCCTCTGTATTTCAGCACATGGTGAGCAGTGCTCTGGGGAGCCTTCTATGATTACAACTTGCACCTTTTCCTGGGACACTCTTAAAAGGATCAGCAGACATCCAATTTACTCACATATAATCCCAGATTAATGGAGTTTTTGCAGAGCTGATTACACTTGATTTACCAAGACTGGGTAAGTGTTTAAAAATACATTTACTGTTTTGCAGGTGATATTTGATGTCATGCTGTTTGAAATATTTCTGTCTTGTTATAAATTGGAAAGTTATATTAACCAAGTAGACACATGGTTGGAGGGAAAATTGGTTGCCAGAAAAAGGTACATTGATTAATATATTTATCATGGGCTAAGCACACACTGATGTATTTAAAGATATTTTTATTACTTATGTGAAGTATAGGGAGTTTACATTTAGTGCAAGGGGAATTTAATGACAAACATTCTCCTTTTAAAATATAACTGCAAACTGTTTTATGAAACCTATAATTGCTACAGTCTATGTTGTTTCTGCAGCTATAAAATCAATAACTGTAAAACAGAAAGGCTATTTCCTTTAAATTGGTTATAATGATGTTTATGCAAATCTTTCCCTGTGAGCTTTCCTTACCTGTCTTCCTAGCGCATATAGTCTTACTTCTGCATATCTTTTCCTCAATGTCATACTTCTCTGTTCCATGTACTAAATTGCCAGTCACTCCAGTCAAGGTTAATTAACAGAACAGAGACTTGGGACTGGGGAAAGAGAGTAACGTTGAATCAGATGGAAGAATAGGAGTAGTTACTGCAGAGAAAACGTGTGGGTGGTGAAGAGGATGAGCCAAGGTGACTCTTCCTCAAGCGTACAAATTATGCTGCATCTCAGATACTCAAGATCTGAGATGAGTCAGTGCCTCTTAGACATAAATAGGAAGATATTTATGGACGAGACCTCTCAAAATGTACATTTGCCTATTTTTCAAGTATTTTATACACAATGTAGGGAAAGGATATCCCAAACGTTTCTAGTGTGCAAAGCCTGGTAAATAGAAACAGGAAAGTTGAAGGTCGGTGAATGCCCCTGGTTACTGCACGATGGCCGGGAACATGGGCTTTTAAAACAGATTGGTTTCTCTAGTTTGAACACTTACTCCCACAGTTTGACCATGAGTCTGGGGTAGTTGTAAAATTTAAATGAGCCAATTTACAAAGAGTGCTTATGCTTAGTATCGGACCTGGCACACAATAAATATTCAATAAATGGGTGTTACTATGTTAAATGATTGTACAGACATTTCTAAGGATATTTGTAACTTTGCCAGTCTTTGATTTTAATAAAGTTTTCTCTATAAGAGCTTTAATTTTTCATCTATAAACTCTCACTATGTTGAATTTTCCTTATTCTCACCTAGCCAATTACAGTGGGAAGATAATACTAAAGATTATTATTTTTTTCAAATCTGGCATGTATTAATTTCTGAAGGGCATTGATATTTTTAAATTTTACTAGTATGCTATCAAACCTATCGTTTTGCAGCATCTTAATATTGGGTAAATTATCTGACTTTTTAAAATATTTTTATATTTGAAGTGAGAAAAATAGAATAGCTATTCTAGGACAATTTTTGTAAAGATCAAATAATATGAGATACAGTGCGTGACATAGAAGTATCCAATACATGTGAACTATTACTAATATTACTAATGTTATTGTTATAAATATTTTGTCTTAAACATATTCTTATCTACCTCTGTCTGATTGCTGATGCTGTCAGTCTTTAATTTGTATAACTTGAAGCAAGATGTTCTATAGAGTTTTTAAAAATAGAATATTAATATGTACAAAATCTCAGGTCACTTTAACTTTTGAAGACATGACTCATCATTTTATACACTCAAAGTACAATATATTTAATTTAAACACAGATATCATTTTATGACTTTACTAAATTACCTTCAAGGACAACTGCTTTTAAAACTCCCTAAATTAGATTCTTTCTAGAGGACATTATATAGCTGTAATTTTAAATTGCTTCACATTTTGATGATTCTTAGTATCAAAGTTTGGCTGTCCCACCCTTAATTTTTCACCTTTTAAGTTGTTCAACCCACCTATTGAGTATATAAAGTTATAAAATAAATACTGGGTAATCAGGATACCATCTGTCTCTACTAACTACTTTATCTAATCTTTCTGAATTTGTACTCCATCTTATATCTAACATCTTGAATGCTTAGAATTTGGTTTCATAATTCAACCTTAATGCCAAACTCTGATTCAGGTTATATTCACCAGTGAATTTTAGGAAACTGATCATTTTGGCCCCATCTCTGATATGAAGATCTGATATTGACCATGCAAAGCCATGCACCAGGGTTGATGATAATGTATCTATGAATTATTGTAAACAATAAAATATAAACTTTTTTTTAGATTTTTGACTTTTGATTTTTTTCATTATTTGATTTATTTAAATAAGTCAATTGTATGAACAAACAGGAATAGGATTACATCAAATATTTCAATACACACCTAAAGATTTATGGCATGTGTAGAATTAACCAACAAAGTAAACTTTCAATAGAGCCAATTAACTTTTATGTAACATGAGCCTAAGTCATGTTTTGTACAAGAATAACCCTCTTTATTAATCATAATTGATAATAAATACACACACACACACACACACACACACACACACACACACTTCTCAAGTGTTCATATAAAATTCAACCATTGACCCAGCCCCTTACATGAGCAAAGAGAAAATTAGATGTCATAGGATCATTTTGTCACTAGTATAACGAACAGAATCCCTATCTTGCTAGCTTAGATAAAGGGGACTTTTTGAGGTGGCACGTGAGGAATATTTTGTTGGGGTTCAACCTGGCCTGGAGGTAGCCATTACTCCCTTTAGCTGATAGTATCTGTAGGCCTCATGGCCTCTCCTTTTTTGTTCTTTCTGTGAATCTACATCATCACTATCTTTCTATCTTCAAACCTGCCCCAGAGCAGTGACCCCCAAATAGAGTTTACAAACTTTCCGTATCAGCTATCCAGAGCCAGGTGATCCATCTCTGTGGACCAGATTCAGTTTCTTGTGAGGATCTGATTGGTCCACTTCAGTCGGTTATTTATTCACAGCCCAATAAGCAGTAGTAAGAAGAATATGATTTCATGGGGCATGTATAAGCCCCCTTTGTGCCAGTGAGCAGCAAAAAAAAAAACCCTAAGAATGAGCTGTGGGTACAGGAAGGCACCTTTGGTACCTGAATTGTAATAGACATATCACAATGTAATAATAGTGATTATAGGCAGATTGGGATTTATGGGTTATTTGGGTGCTTCTTATATGATACATTGAAAGCTAATATTTTGATATATCGATTTGTGCCCTAAATGGCAATGGAAACCAAACAATAGTCTTATATTTCTAAATTATAAAAAAGCCATAAATGATTAACAGCATATATTGAATATGCACACTTTGAATACCCGAATGTTAAAAATTGCTGATAGAAATGTAAATGTAAAAGTCCAGTGGAGTTGACACTTTTTCTAATGCCATAGCATTTCAGTTCTGTAAGATTGCTGATTATTTCCTTTAAAGTATATTTTTTTCACCAAATTTTAGAGTAGTTGGTTCTTGAAGTCTTAAAAACAGGGTAAGGGGAATTTACCTTTCTCTTCTTGTATTCTCAGGTTTAGTAAGCTTTGATGTCCAGATCTGGAGTTAGCCACATTGTTCAAAAAAAGAACCTGATTTCCTTTAGACAGTGCCTATGTTTCCTTCCTTTTCAGAACTCTATAAGACTGTAGGACTTCCCATTTTGGTCCCAATAATTGGAATTTTCAAATGACATAACACACGAATCCAAGTCCAATAAAACACGTAGTATAATAATGATGCATCTTGGATTTTTTGCTATTCAGTGATATGCTCAACAATTTTTATTACTCTTATAGTGCACAGCATTAAGCTAATTACTGGGGATCCATTGCTGATCTTGTTCTTTCTCTTATGCAGTGGATAGGTTTGTGGGAAGTAGTTTGGGGTAGAAACAGTATTTTCATTTGATGCGCTTTTGTCATTTAGTTCAACATTGCTCATTCTTTAGGATGGCTTTACTAGTAAAGCCAACCACATATGAATTGCTGCTTCTACTCTGGACATTCTCAACCATAACAAACTTGCCCCTATTAGGGTAACTTTATCGCTCAGTCAGCTATTTTTTGATTTTGAGAAATTAACTGTTCAGTTTTTGTTTTTTAAAAGATATTTTTATTAATTTCAGGGAGGGAGAGGGAGAGATAGAAACATTAATGATGAGAATCATCGATCAGCTGCCTCCTGTACGCCACCTACTGGGGATCAAGCCTGCAACCCTGGGCATGTACCCTGATCAGGAATCAAATTGTGACCTCCTGGTTCATAGGTTGATGCTCAACCGTTGAGCCACGCTGGGTGGTCTCTGTTCACTGTTTTTTTGTATGTTCCTGTAGCCATTTGGGCTATAATGCATAAAAGGAGATATCCTTTTTTTCCTTGAAGTATAATTAACATATAACATTAGATTAATTTCAGGTGTACAACATATTCAATATTTATATATATTGTGAAATGATCACAATAAGTCTGGTTAACATTTGTCACCATATATAGTACACATTTTTTTGTGTGATGAGAACTTTTAAGATACTCTCTTACCAACTTTCAAATATACAATACAGTGTCATTAACTAAAATTATCGTGCTGCACATTATATTCCTGCACTTACATATGACTGAAGTTTCTACCTTTTAACCCCCTTCATTCATTTTACTCACCCCTCATCCCTCTCCTCTGGCAACCACCAACCTGTTCAAGAGAGAGATTCTTGAACCAACTTGTTTTGAATATTGTTAGTGTCTAATAATCTACTCAATTAACTACTATGTAAATTTGTGTTCAATCTTTCATAGTTCAAAGTCAGTGTAAACACTACTGAGCTTTTACAATTTCTCATGTCTTTCTTCATTGTTCCTTTGATTTTTCTCAAAGACTTGGAGTACCACTAGGTGTATTGCAACTGCCATATTTCCTATAATTTAGATAAAGTCAAAACTCAGATTATTGCTTTTGTTCAAACCTTTGCAAATTGAGGTCTAGAAGCTTCTAGATCATTAGAGCCAGAGGAGTCATTTGCTACATACAGT